CAAAGCTGTGACCAATGCTGGAACAGCCATTGCGAAATTTGTTGCGATTCACTTAGTATGCTAACCATCCTTTATATAGGGGTTGTTGTGGAGGCCCAGTCATGGAAAAGTTTGTAGTTGCTTTCGGTGCAAAATTTTCTATTTACGCAAGCCATTCTCTAAGCATTGTAATTTATGTTCTTATTTTTTTATTTTGCTCCAAAACAGTTGTCCTCGACACACCATATTGATTTGGATGAATAAAAATGTCGCGCTTCAAAAATAGAGGTGTCAACATGGGTCATAAGCCCATTCTTTGACTCATATTTTTACAATCATGTTGTATATAGGTTGTTTAAACACTTAAAAAGGCCAAGTGAAAATGAGTTTAAAAAATTAAAGTTTAATCAGATTGGGCCTTAATAGAATTTTAGATGATTTATTTTTGTTTCTATATGCACACGTTTATATTTCAATTCCTCGAGCATTTTTTGTTTCTTTTAACCACAAATTTATTTTAGGGAAAACGTCACAAAAAGCCCCCAATTATGCCCACCGTGATACATTTACTTTGAACTTTTTTTGTGATATCAAAAACCCCAAACTATACCCACTGTGATGCATTTACCGTGACATTTCTCTTGTGACATAGAAAATCCCAAATTTGTATATATGTGACACATTTACCTTCCATCAACATTCTGTCAGATGAGTTTTTAGTCAAAATAACGTCGTTGTTATTTCACTTAAGCCACGTGGGCATCATGCCAACACCGTTTGCTTTCCAGCATCCATGTAGGCAAATTTTTAATGGTTCTCATTGACGAAACTTTGACAGCGGGTAAATATGTCACACAGGTACAAGTTTGTTATTTTTAATGTCACAAAAAAATTTAGGATAAATGTGTCAGCATAACTTAGGATTTTCGGTGGTTTTTGCCCTTCATTTTAGGGCTGCGTTTTTTCCACTCTCACCATGGTTAAAACACTCCTTGTTACAGTGCTTTGACAATATTAACCCTTGTGGGTCCCATCTTTTTTAAGGGTCCTTCTTTTGGCTGTGGTGTCTCATTTGTTTTCTTCTTTATTTTTTCTCGTGGGTCCCATTTTCCTCTTTCTTTACTTCTCTCCCTTTTCCTCCTTCGTTACTTCTCTCCCTAAGTTCTTAAATTTGGTCATGGTTCAAGCATTGGTGGAATATGTAAAAAAAAAAAACTCTCTTTTGTGGTAAGTCTCTGTTACTTGTCGTCCAGATCACGTCGTAGTCATCGGTTTTTCAATCGTTAACCGAAGTTTGATATCCTGGCTCCCGCATTGAACTTTACGCCTATCAGAACACGGGGATTTGAACCATTGACGGGCAATAGGGCCACCTCATCGCATAAGGGCTCGGACTTAAGAATTGAGTTCGCAATCACCTCTTCAGTCCTCTTAATCACCGGCGGCGGTAGCTTGGTAATTAAGATCGGCGCGGAATTATGAGAGATCGCAAGCACGATGAGGGGCAAATCCTTGCCGATTGCATTTTTGGTTTGCATAAACAACTTAGTGGGAGAGGGGAGATTTGAACCACGTATTTGGAGGCGGGTAGGGGATGGCGAATCGGCAATAGCAGTGACAATTATGACCAAGAAGATAAAGTCGAAGAAGTAGAGATTGCTTATGAGCTTGAAGAGTTTTTGGGCCAGGGCTTCAACTCTTGGATTTGAATCTTTAATGATTTTTTTCTTGTCTTTTTGATCGATCAATCGAAAAGTTTGATGCGAAATAGGATAATTTAAATTTGCCATGAGATGGAAGAAGACTAGTTGGGTGAAGAGGAGGTTTATGCAAATTAGGGCTTCAACACAGATTATTGACATGAGAGAGATATTTTAGAAAGAGAGAACATAGAGAGAAAAAAATGAGAAGAAGGAAAGTGGCCCTGCCAGAAAAGAGAAAGAAGAGAAGCAGTTGAAGAATGCTTAAAAAAAGCGGAACCCACAAAGGTTAATATTGTCAAAACATTATAAGAAGAAGTGTTTTAGCCTTAGTAGGAATGAAAAAGCCGCGATCCTCATTTTATTGCACCTTTAATATATATGGCCGGCACACAATACCAAACCAGTACTATGACAATCAATCAATTCTGCGGCCAAGAAAAATGTTTCAAAAACTAAATCTATTGATTGTCAGCTTTTCTTTTTCTTTTGAGGCCTGTAATTAGTATAGGATGTGTAACGAACGGTTCATTTCACGTTGATCTTTTCTCCAACGTGGGTATTTTAAGTGATCACCACCAGAAGGTGTTGGGTGATGACACCTCCAAAAGTTAACTGTTTCAAATATGTGAGGAGCTTTCGACCAAATATATATATGTGAGGAGCTCAACGAGGGAAGTCACTAAAATTTGTTGATTGAGTATCATAGTCATACTCGACGAGGGGTAAAAAGACACTAGATGGAACTCTACATACCTAAAGCTTGAGGATGCTCGTCTTTCCATGTCCATTTTCCCATTTGATGTACCTTCCCGGCCATGGTCTCTTCTTCGAAATTAGATCAAATTTCTAGCACTAGAAGAAATAACAGGAGATTTGTTCTAATAGCTTGAATACCTAAAAATCTTTAGTAATTTCTTATTTGTTAATTGTTTTTCATGTTTAGGCTCTGTTTGCTTCGCAGAAAATGAATCATTTGAAAAATATTTTCCTAAAAATGATTGCTTGTATCATTTATAAAAATTAATAAATAGAGCATTTAGGACCCGTGGTCAAGTGATGTAGGACACTACTTCAACACCCCCTCTCACTTGCAAGCCACATTATAAGGGCACGTGGAATTTGACTGATGAGGTAGGATGCACATTCACAAAAGGGATTATACTGCCTCTGATACCATATTAGATTTTATGAGATCAGTACTAACTATTCTAAAAAATTAAGCTATTAGATAAAAGTGTGGTTTAATATCTAAATATTCCAACACATACGATGACATCCATAATTAAGGCAAAATCGGGAAATCTACCATCAATTATCACGGAAACAGATGAAAAAATGTTGAGGGCTAAGCAAGATAGTCACTTTAACTCTCGATATGCTTTCGGTCCTTCTTGTTGGTTAAGACGATCGAAGCCGAAGCTAAAATGGGGTCTTTTTCTTTGGCTCCTTCTCATTTGGCTTCATTTACCCACAAGAGCCATGTCCTCCCGTCCATTGTATAGACTTCAATTTTTTTTTTAAATGCCATGTTAGACTTAAAAATTCACTAGAAAAGCCACGTAGAACAAATTGCCGGAATATCTCACCAGAGGCACTGTAGTGATCAATTTTCCATTAATGTGGCACTCAAGTGATCAAAAAAGTTATATGGTACTCATGGTGTCCTTTTTTCCCACAAAAATCTCCACACCAAAAGAAGAAATATGTGGAAGAGAGAATTATGTAATTTATGTATATTTTTGTGTATCTCGTAATGAAGAGTACATGAGCCTAACAAGATTATTCAATCGGAGATATGTACAGTCAAAGAAGATAAATACACAATCTCAAGTGATATGAAATATTAAGGAAATATCGTGAATATCTCTAACTATGCATCTTCCGACTTTAATTTTTACTAAAAAATTAAATAAAATATGTTGTCTCGTTTAAGATAACTAATAAAAGTAAATTAGCAATAGTGGACAAAATAGAAACAATTATTAGGCCAATTATCGTGAAAAACCTAGAATTTTTCACTTTTCTTTTTATCAAATCAGTATCTAAAATAATAAAACAATTCTCCCGGAGACCATCGAATATGAACAGTAAGAAAATGCCCTAGAACGTCTTTGCGACGTCAGGTCAGGAATAAATGCAAAGCACTGTATAAGAAATAGACCGAACGTCGTATAAAATACCCAAGCTCGAAGATCTCCGCTCTCGAAGCCGAAGGTCGTTTGCTATCGATTGCAAATATCACAAAAATCACGGGTAGCAACTATGGGAGACGCACCACCGAAAAAAGCTACATTCAGGCTATTCAGCTGCCAGCTGCCCCTAATGAATAGGGCGTCGCTGATACAAGATCGATATGAGTTTGGTTAGGGTGGCTTTGAATTGTAGGACTTGTCTCACATTCAAACTAAGACACCACCAAACTCCCTTTCCCTCGTACGTTGTGTCGTACCACGCCCACAGATAGAGAATCTGCTATGATGGTTGTTGCACATGAATGAGCTCTAATTGAAGCTTCTATTATTGATTGGTTGAACGAAGGAGTCCCATACCTAAGTCACAATCTAGGACAATAGTTATTCACGATTTAGTGAAATTACTTCTTCTAACAATAAAGTCTAATTATATCCGAACTTCATCAAGTATCTCACAAAAGAACACAAAGTTTGGCTTCCAACCCAAAAAGTCCGCCCTTTTAGCTTCTATCTATAGTAGTTGTTAGAAATTTGACATGTTGATCGGAATGTACTATATGTCTCTCGGATTTAGGTGACATGGAGCGAGGGCAAATAAAAAGACGGCCGCATCACTCCATAAATTGCTAAAGAAAAGTGAGAAATATTAGTTAGTCTTTACTTTCCAACCTAGTGAGAGGCCACTCCACTCACTGATCATCACGTGTCCAAATGGCATCTACTCGTCGGAGCTTTCAAAACCAAAAGAAGAATCACATGGGACGCAAACTTTCTCATTCACGGCATCCAGCAAGGACTTCTGTCGTGGCTCGAGCGTTAGTTAGTGTTCAAATTCATTAATTAATCAAATCTAGCTATTAGCAATAGGTTAGACGAGAATCTTCTCCTTGCTTCTATTGTGTGTACCAACATAGAAAACGCGAGATGTAGCTTTCGACTGACCCATCTAAACCATCTACTAATCATATGATCAATATAGCAAAAATTGGAAGCTACCCAGATGCCACCATAGTCACCAGAACTGATAAATTATAAAGAAAATAGTATGATTAAATTACTTCCCTTGAAGGGTACGTGAGCATCTTCAAAATTTTTCATTTTTAAATTTTATTTTTTGGAATCTCTCCTTTCTCTCTCTCTCCCTCCATTAATGTTGAAGCAGGCTTCCTTACTGATAAAACAATCTCTCTCCCTTTGCTTCTTCGCTTCCTCTTCTCTTTTTCTTCGCTTCCTCGGCTTCCCCTTTAGGCAAAGCAAATCATCTCCGTCCGACAATGGCCTTACACTGCAAAATCACCTCTTCACTCTGCACTTGACCTCTCTTCTTCAACCCTCACTTCAGCCATCTCCGAATGCCCTACTCTTCTCGCTCTCTCTCAAGACCCCTCCTCTCTTGCAGCCCACCCACCACGGCCCTTGCTTCCATGCCTTCGCATTCAAAACAGCGAGCCCGACAGCCTCGGACTCGGCCCGGATCGTTCGGAAAGTTTTCCTCTTCCTGCCCAGGGTCAATCCGGCCGAGGGTCACGCCCAGATTAAGGAAGTGAAGTTCGTGAAGAGCAGTGGGAGGGCCAAGGATTGTCCCGAAATGGGAGGCCCGAGTTTGCAATTATGGGTCCGTCTAATGGGGGCAAGTCTTGGCATATCAATGCTCTGGTTCAGAGGAAGAAGGAAGTTACAGTTAAATCCAAGAAACCAGGTCCTTTCTATTCCTTATGGTTTTACTTTTTTCGCGTGGGATGGGCTGATTGATTGATGTATTTTGCAGGCAAGAGAGCTTATAAATCACTTCTTGGTGAACAAGAGTTGGTACGTTGTGGATTTGCTGGGTTACGGGTGAGCTTTAAGCATCTGGCTTTTGGCTTGCTTAAATTTTTCAGCTGTGTGGCGGCTTATAAATGCAAAAAAAAATCGCAGAATGTGAGCTAATATGTAAGTTTTGTTTCTGGGAATGCTGCAACTAATCGAGTGAGGTAAGTCGATTCAAAGCTGTTAGAGTGGGAAACTGGAAAATCGTTGGATCACAACTTGTTGACGAGCCTTCAAAACTTGATTAATTGCGCTCAAATGGTTTAAGCATTTTTTACCTGTCACTTTGGATATGCCAAGGTAGTAATTCTTTCAGCTAACATGTAGAGGCTGGAAATTCCGTCTCCAACTTAAGGTCTTTCTGTTCCTCACGTAGTGGACCCTTTGACAAGCGGCAAAGTATTAGTTTCCGTCTTTCGATTTAAATCGTGAAGTGGAAGAAGTAAATTTTTACATGCTTTGTCTTCATACTATGCTTTTTCATTGTTGCCTTTGTCAATCAACAGTTCCATGGAATGAGTAGAATAAAAATAAACAGTTAAAGGATTCTTCGAGCTAAAAGATTAGTTTTGCTAATTAACTCTCCCATAAAAATAGCTCTCCATTCACTCTTTTCATTGCCGCTTATCTATCATAGCTGACAGAGGATACGAGTAAAAATTACCAAGTCAGTGAGTAGAATGTTGACAAACAAAGGTCGACTCAAGTGACAAAAAGGCTCCGTTGACAGAGTGGGAATGAAGTAACCATCCAAGTATTGAAGCCAACAATTTTGGATGCAACTGCATGACAGATATTCGTTAAAGGGGGAACTCAAGGCAATCGTAGAGTAGTGGAGCCAAGAAGTTCATGAGCAACTGATAGTGAAAATTGTGGAAAAGTGGAAAAGACAACTGTGGAAGTAGCGGAGGAGAAGCAATCATTGAAGCGGTAGAGTGGTTCATTTTTTAGTAACTGTTGGTAATAGAGATTGCTGAATTGTAAGAATTGCATAGGGTATATTCAATTTCTTTTTTAATCGTTGATAACTATCGGTAGTAGATATAAATACTTCAATTGTAGTTTGTAGAAGAGACCGCCAATCAATCAAAGAAAACCAATAGTTCAATTTTTTCTTCCTATTTTTAATATTTCATTACCTTTACATGGTTGACATGATTATCTCCAATCTCACATTTTTAATTTTCTCTTGGTTTGCGTTTCCTGTTTAAGAATTAACAAAGGACTATTTATACCCTTTGTTGATTTACTCATCGATCCATGCTTTGAAATGTATTTCCTCAACACTTTTCGACAAAACAAGTTGATTGGATTATAATTACATCTAGCAAGCTCGTGCTATGCATGGGAATTGATGGATTAATTTCTTGGTTACTCCAAAATCCATTAGATATTATTAGCAATGCGCTAATCTGTGGCAAATCATTAATGAAATTAGACATATAAAGAAATATGAATGATAACTTTGTTGGGAAAATTACCAAAAAAGTCATAAACCTTTTGTAAATGTGCCAATTCAGTCCTAAACCTTTTTTTTTTGCCATTTCAATCCTAAACCTTTTACAATTGTGCCAATTCAGTCCATCCGGCCACTTTTGGTCGGCCGACGCTGACGTGGACGCCGGCCGGCGCCGACGTGGCATTATTTTAATATTTTTTTCCTTTTTTTTTCCTTCTTCCCCCTGGCCGGAGGATCGCCGGCGAGGTGACCTCACCGGCCATGGCGAAGCCGACCTCGCCGGCCATGGGCGAGGTCGAGCTCGCCCGGCCATGGCGAGGTCGAGCTCGTCGGCCATGGGCGAAGTCGACCTCGCCCGGCCATGGCGAGGTCGAGCTCGCCGGCCATGGGCGACGGCGAGGCCTCGCCCGGATCCGGCGAGACCTCGCCGTCGCCGGGCGAGGTCGAGCTCGCCGGCGACGGCGAGGTCTCGCTAGATCCGGGCGAGGCCTTGCGTCGCCCGGCGAGCTCGACTTCCCCATAGCCGGCGAGCTCGACCTCACCATGGCCGGGCGAGGTCGACCTCGCCCAGCGACGGCGAGGTCTCGCCAGATCTGGGCGAGGCCTCGCCGTCTCTGGGCGAGCTCGAGCTCGCCGGCCATGGGCGAGGTCGAGCTCGCCCGACGACGGCGAGGCCTCGCCCGGATCCGGCGAGACCTCGACGCCGCCGGGCGAGCCCGACCTCGCCCAAGAACGGCGAGGTCTCGCCGGATCCGGGCGAGGTCTCGCCGGATCCGGGCGAGGCCTCGCCGTCGTCGGGCGAGCTCGGCCTCGCCCATGGCCGGCGAGCTCGACCTCGCCGTCGCCGGCGAGCTCGGCCTCGACCATGGCCGGCGAGGTCGACCTCGCCATGGCCGGGCGAGGTTTTTGAGCGAGGCCTCGCCGTCGCCCATGGCCGGCGAGCTCGACCTCGCCATGGTCAGGCGAGGTCGACCTCGCCCATGGCCGGCGAGGTAGGCCTCGCCGGCGAGCCTCCCCCTGGCTGGTCCAAACAAGGGGAAGAAGGAAAAAAAAAAGAAAAAAAATATTAAAATAATGCCACGTCAGCCGGCCGGCATCCACGTCAGCGCCGGCCGGCCAAAAGTGGCCGGATGGACTGAATTGGCATAATTGTAAAAGGTTTAGGACTGAAATGGCCAAAAAAAAAGGTTTATGACTGAATTGGTACAATTGCAAAAGGTTTAGGACTTTTTTGGTAATTTTCCCTAACTTTCTTTATACGTAATACATATTTTGCTATTATGAAATGTTTGAAAAGTCAGTCAAGCATGAGTTGCCAGGATTGTGATTATGCAATTTTTCAATAACATGAATTTTAGTCTTCATTCAACTATGAGTTAATATGCGCTCTAAATGCCATACTCTTCGAATTTGAAAAGTTACCCTCTCTCCCTCTCTGAATCTTTTTTCATCTCTAGCACTTCTGGAAGGGAGGGATTTGACCTAGATCGCTCCCTCCCCTCCTAGCTGTTTTTCCTTTCATTTCCTTATATTCCTTTTGATCTAGTTTTAGATCTAGGAGCTTTGTTCTCCGGATCTTATATTAGGGAGCTTTTCTCTCCGATCTAATTCTAGATTTTGGAGTTTTAATGATTAAGTTTTCCACCTCCAGTTTTAATGGTGTTCACAGCAGTTTCGGTGTCAAATCTATGCTCATTCAACGTGTTTTAGTTACAAGCTTTGGCGCATCGCATTGGCTACAGAGCTTGCTATCACAAGTATCAAATCTAAGTTTTTTCAACATGTTTATGTTGTCCCCGTACAGTAATGATGTTGGGGATGCCGAACCTAGGCGCACACTGCCGAAAGGCAAAACCGTAACTATAGATGGAGATCTCGGTGTGTGCTTATCATTGATGATGCTGTGTGATTCAGTGATCGGCCGTCAATTCTTTTGCTTGGATGCAGTCACAGATCTATTCTTGAAAGACGAGCGATTGATTATCTCAAGATATGCCTTGATTTCTGATTTTTGGTTTGTTTTGGAGTTTTGTGGGCTTGCTTTGTTATTGTGACTTTTGAGATATCCTATCATGTATCATTTCGGTAATGGATGGAAATTTGTTTTGACCGAAAAAAAAACTATGAGTTAAGATGAGTTCTTTAGATAAAAAACTATCACCTATATATATATGTTGACACCTAAATTTTGATTAATCATTTCGAAATTAATTACATAGAAAACTAGGAATTAATCTTTAACCCTAGACAAAAATGTTAAAATTATATTGCTTAGCATATAGTTTAGTTGCATTTTGCTTCGGACCGGAAGTGGTAAATAAACCCAAATCAGTTGCGCAAATTTGGCCCGCACATCAAGCTAAACTCAACCAGGCTAGAGAGCATTGTGGCCAAAAATTTCAAGGCAAGACGGGCCTAATTGTGCTTAATTTGATCATATTCCAGCCCATTGAAGTTTAAATACAAGTTGGCCTTAGGTTATTAGAGCCCATCACATTGAACAAGGGCTTAATTTAAGCTCGCGGTAGTGAGATAAACCTGGGTTAAAACTATAAATACATAGTTATGCCTCTGAATTGAGAGGTCAGCAACATTTTTCTCAGAACACAAGAGTGAAACACGTGAGGAAGAGAGAAAAGAGAGGGGGAAGTCACAGCCAAACCCGAAGGCCACGACCCCCTCCCTCTCCGCCACGGCTCCCCGATCCACGGCTCAGCTGCTATTCCGCCACACCAGAGATCTTGCTACCCCCACTCTCCCTGATCTGTTGTGCCGAGCCAACCCCAACTCTAGTTGATGCTTCCCGCGACGCTTGCTACTCCGTCACAATGCCAAGTTAATGAGAAGTATTAACCGCACGAGACATGTGAAACACGCTCCAATTAATCCATAATCTTAGACAAATTTATGCAAATCTGGTTTCGGCATTCCGTCGAACACATGATGAGTGTCTTAGGTGAGGATCTTATATGCAAAACTAGAGTAAGTTTTTGATTCCATAATATGACATTAGTAGAAATCCATACCAAATGGCGAAATAAGGTAATGAAGAAAAATGGCGTTGGATGGTGTTCAACGGCAACCATAACAGCTCCAACTAGACTCAAATTGACGATGAGGAGAGTTGTGATAGCAAAGACGAGTGAGAAAGAAGAGTTGGATATCGCTGAAGGGCAAGAGACACCGAGAAGCAGACCCCAGTAGCAGCGTTTCCCTTGAGAGACCTGATTCGATGCTGTTGCAGAAAAGTGAGGTTCAAGGATATGATGTTCCTACTGGGAGAGAAGACGAGGTCGCCGGATGTGATGTTGATTGGAGCGGATCGGCGGGATCCGACGATCGAAGCTCAACTATGCGATTAAGAGCAACATGAAAACCAGCAAGGAGGGGGAGATAGGCGACTCAGTCTTTAATATAAAAATCTGACATGGACTCATTTGTAATATAAAAATGCCAAAGTTGGATAAAAAAAATTAATTATAAAAGCCACGGAATCATTTTGATCGGAATTTCTCGTCGGAGGCACTTAGGTAATCGTTTTATGTCCGATTTGGCACTTAAGTGATCCGTCGAAAACTTTTGACACTAAAGTGAGCGCCGAGCACAACTTTTGACACTTTTAGTATCCTTCTACCTTCTTTTCAAGATAGTTTCTACAAGATAGTTATATTTCTATTATTGGCTTTAATGGAAGTATTGACTTTAAGATATAATGTCTCACATAAGAAAACAATGACCTACTCTCTTTTTTTGCATAAGGACACAAAAAGCGCCAAAAGTTTCATATGGCGCTCACTTTAGTACTAAAAGTTTTTGCCAACTCACTCAAATGCCAAATCGGAGAAAAAACAATCACTTAAGTACCTTCGGCGAGAAATTTCGATCAAAAATATTACGTGGCGTTTATAATTAAACTTGGGAAGAAGGACACTAGAAGTGTCAAAAGTTGTGTACAGCGCTCACTTTAGTGCCAAAAGTTCTCACCGACTCACTTAAGTGTCAAATCAGAGAAAAACAATCACTTAAGTGCCAACGGCGAGAAATTCTAGCCAAAATAATTACGTGGCTTTTATAATTAAAAAAATAAGCTGAGTTGGCGTATTTGTTAAAAAATCCAATCCACGTGGATTTTTGCCCCTCTCTCTATAGAGTTTCGCTCTCTCTCTTGCTTTGTGTGTGCTTTTCGACTCCATTTTTAGCTTCCTCAAGATCATCACTGACCAAGACATCGAAGATAAGCTCATCTTTAACCTTGAGTTAGGAATGATTCTCTCCCAAGAGGAGTTCTCTCCCTATCCTCTTTGTGATAGGTTTACCCTCAAACCCTAACTCACCCCGTTCCATCCTCAACCCTACTATAATCCCCAACCTCTCCGCAAGATAATCCCAACCTCTTCTTATCCCCAGTCATCTTACTCGCCAAAATCCTCCTGTTTGTTCGTGCCCTAACCCAAGCTTCCCCTTCCCGAGTCAATGGAACAAGGAAGTCTCGGGAAGCTCATAGTGATGGAGTAGCCTGCCACCTTGCGTTTGGACCCAATGCTTCCTCTTCCACGTCACAGATTCGGGAAGCGTTTCGTCGGTCAGGTGTTACTCACCATCCCTTCACGCATTCTTCTCTCAATATTCCTCCCATATACCCTCATAAACCACGCAATTT